GAACTCCTCGTTACTTCGAGCTGACTATTATTTTCCTTCGGCTACAAATCAGTGCTACCGAGTTTCGTAGAAGCTGTCAGGTAACTGGATTTAATCCGTCAGAACACGCATTTATAAAAAAAAAAGTCCTTTTAGATTTGTGGAAAGCCTGCTCTTAGCTAAAGCGAAGATGCAGAACGCTGCGCGTGAAACCTTTGCTACCGATCATACCTCCCCAATTATTCTACCATGTGAACCCAACAACTGACGACATATCTTACACACGACGTAGGTAAAGAACTATACAAACATATTTTCCCTTTCTATATAATATAACCTTATTTTAAAGACATTCTATTCTAGGCTTAGCCCAAGAAAACAGTCATCTCTCTTCACCAGCTGAATTCATTCCTTGCTAGGAAGACATCTGTGACTCAACCCCAAAAATTATTAGGGAGCTTAAGCAAAGACGATGGCGACGCTGAGGACGACGTCCAGTCAAACATCAATTTATATTTTACGAGTGTAATTCGCAAATTGCCTAGATTTGCTCAGTAAGCCATTGCTCTAAAAACGAGCTCGGGCTAAATATGAAATGACAGCGTTCAACTGAACTTGGTCATTTCACGTTCTTGTTTTGCAGAGGACGGCAAAGAAACGTTCAAAGATTTATAACGCACGTGCACAGCCATTGTTATACCCATTACATCTCTTGTTTGGTGACGTTCTCGTTTCCATCGTCGTCGTGGTTTGCTTAAGCTCCCTAATTCCATAGTGATGAGGTAGATTTAAAGAGATCAGTGTAGCCTCTCTGATTGGTTCTAAATTGCGCGCGAAAATTCAAAACCGAGAAACAAGCAATCAGAGACGCTACACGGATCTCTGTAGAGCTACGTCATCAGCAAGGAATTATTCGGGTCCAGTCTCGAGCGTCTTTCCAGCGAGGGAAGACCCGAGACCGCGAAGTGAGAGCTCTTTATGCTCAGGCCCTTGTAGGCTCCTCGTTATCTTAAGCGCTGCAGTCAAGCAAACGGAGTCAAGCGCGAAATTTAAAACGCTAAACCGCAGAGCATAAGAAAAGCGGGTCCTTAGTATAAGCAAGGTTTGACTGACTGTAGGATTTGTTCCTAACTGTGGAGTCCAAACCTCTCGGTACTGTGGTTTGCTACAAATCCTCTGATAATGGCGGATGATGAATATACAAAGACATAAGTTCTCTGGCTGCTATTGCATGAAGAAGTCGCCTTGATGATCTGTTGTCGTTCCGTCAGTATTTTCAAATCTTCTAGCTTCCTCTTGCATGCTTTCTTTGATCTTTAAGATCGCAACGGATTCGCAGTGATCCTGCAGAGAAAAAAACACTGTTAACCAGACTATTCCAACACTAAAAACCTTAAATCACATATGAATGCTCGAAGACACGCGCGCACAGATACCTTTAGTCTGGCAAACAAGCGCCCTTTTCCGGCAAATACACGAAGATGAAGCCGAACACTTCCGACTCCCACCGACCAATCAGAAGCAACACGAGCTTTCCGAAACTACTTCGTCGGCTTGCCGCCATGAAAATACGTAAAGTTAATAAGGGATCTCGCTTGCATCACAGGCACAACGAGTTCCTGGAGAACTAAAATTATCACGCAGGCAAATCTCACGAACGAATTCCTTATGCCCGGTCTCACAATGCCTTAAAGCTCATTCAAGAAATATAAATTGAGAATAATATGAAAAACTCTCAATCCTTTTGCCGACCTGTAGTTAAATCACATTACAGTCAGTCAAGATTGCTGAAAAGCTACCCCGACCAAGTTTCTCACACATTAGAAGGAAGGTTTGCTAACAAAATGATATTAACATGAAGCGAAAGTTAGAAATTTAATGAGACTATTAGATTTGGAAAATAGCCAAGCTCGCGCTTTTTTATGTGGCGGTTGCTAAGCACCAAAAAGTACTATGTATCCGCAATAGATCACTCTGTAGTGATCACGCGATTTATTTGATCTAAAGGAATTAGAAACAGTTGCTAAAAAGGGCGCTTCTTTCTCGACTGAAAACGTTTAACAACAATGGTTTTCAAAGTCAACCATAAGTCATTTGCTACCTGTAACCACAGTTAAGAAATCATGTTCTGCTTACACACCATTTACTTTCCTAAAAATAATTCAACTCACTTTAAAAGCCTGTTAATGTTCACTTTAACTTGGAAATGTCTGCAAACAAACAAGAATTATAAAGTATTACAAACGACCGCAGAAAATCGGTGCAACAGAGCCTCCACTCCGTCTGGTCAGCGGCATCGCTACCGCTGACCACAGGAAGTAGGGACTTAAATCCTCCTCATTAACTTGGCTGGTCGTCTAACCGAGCGATTTATGATCAGCGATCAATGATCAATGAAAGAATGGCGTGAACGTATGAATAACTACTTTTTACAAGTGGTTATGGTGTCACATGACCTATGGTTGTTACACAGGATGCCACTTTGCAAACTATGTAGGTACAGTAAAAATAACGAAGTGAATCTAAATAAAATGTGATGAACAACAGAAAGTAATTAATTTGAGTATGACAAAGTGTGTAACATTACAAAAATATAATCGATTTTTGGGCCTTTCTTTTTCAAAATCCATTTCACCAAATAAGGCAATTATCCTGAGCACGCACACAAATACAAAGTGTCAGTCGTTTCCAGGCTCCGGTCAAAATTCGGCCTAACACGAGGAAATTTTGATGGCTGGACAAGAAGCGATACTATACAAGACTTACATTGTAAAAGTAGGTGTTAACTAAGCTTATCAAGCTTCCATTTGCCTCGTTTAATTTAAAACCTAGTGTTGAATAGTATTGCCCTTCGAGGTGTATCAGCTTAACAGAGTATCTGCTTTACAGCCTCAGGAATATTGATGAAGAATTACAACTCGGTTTCAAGCTTATTTTAATAGCCTATTCAAATCAACTGAAGCTTCTGCTTAACGAATTTCTTTTTTAGGTTTTAACACTTGCACTTGAGTTAAGCCTAATGCTAAGCCTATTAACTGGTTCGTTACTAGCTTGGTCAGTTTAGTTGATTAAAATCAGCACATTATTTAGGCCACAATATAATCAACAACAAATCAAGGTATTAAATTTAACTTAGGTTTAAACTTACGCTCAATTTATAATTAGTGCTTTACAACTTTACAGTGCACTGTAAAACAATCTTACTAGTTACAGATTTACTTGTTGGCCTATTTTTAAAACTATCATTAGTTTTCTTACAAAATCCAGAATGCCGTTCTATTCCTTATTTTCAGCCCTGATGGTCGATACCATTTCCAAGCCTTCAAACTTTTTTTTTTTTCCTTTTCCAACCGAAGTTTCTTATGTACAATCTACACGTTTAAATGTCACCGCTTACAACGCTTAAATTAGCACGAGCTTTTAAAGGGCCTGAAACACGTACAGATACTCGTCCACATGCAAAGTGTGTTATTCATCAAATGACACTGAAATTACGTGCTAAATGACTTAACAAAAGGAATGACTGTTTGTAGCAGTTTTCACCATATTCACTTTATAAGAACTACACTGTGCTATCACTCTACATGACATTCTTCAATCTCCATACAGCAGTAAATGCACACGTACATTAAATTTTATTAGACAAACAAGCTTGCACTCACGTTGTCTTGCGAGAAAGGCAGTAAAGTGCTGAACTGATTATCACCTTCCCCAGGGGTACCGGGGTTGTGATCATTCTGATTATCCTGCAAATAGCACAGTAGAATATCAGTAATGTAAAATGTAAGTAAGGGGTGAAAGGTTGGAGGGAGGTTAAAATAAAGAAATAAATTATATACAACATTTAGAGAGGAAGACACATCAGCCCTAGCTGGTTTTCACGTTGGTCCTCTATCCTGGTCAGGGCTGTGCTCTAAAAGTGCCTGGGTGCCAAAGGCGACTAACTTTTGACTTTGGGCGACTAGAAAACCTTGCGTTTTTTTGCATATAAGCTTACATGCTGGGCACCCAGGATTTCATGGTTAGGAACTATTGGACTCCTTGTAATTCTTCTTCCCCCACAGCCTTGCTGGTCGAATTAGAATTTGGAGAACAGATGCTTGTTTTTGCGTAAAACCAAAGAACGCAGAGAAAAACTCTTCGAGCAAGGCGAGAACCAACAACAAACTCGGCCCACATACGACACCGGGTTGGAATTGAACCTGGGTGGCATTGTTAGGAGACATGATCAGGCGTATATATATAAGAAAAAACTGATCAAGTACTGCCACGATGTGGAACACAGGATCACTTGCTTGGCATCGAACCTGTGAACACTGTATATTGCCAAACCTGACTTCATGGTAACTTCATGAATGTGACTAAACCTTTTTGACCTACATGTGTACAGTAGAGTGTG